AAAGATAAAAGGAGAACTATGAGGTCAGGGCTTTCCCCCATAGTTCTCCTTAGGGTAACGGGAGGACACAAACTAGCGTACGCCCCTCACCCTAAGCTCAGTATATAGGGAGCTACAGCTCGCGGTTTACTGAGACGCCGCAGCCTGAGCGGATCCCGACATCGATGTCGAGATCCGCCCAGCTGCGTGAGTGACAGCTGGCTCTGCCTATCTAGAGGCAGAGCCAGCTGGCCCCGCCCCGTCCCCCGTCCGATCCACCAGTCAGCGCTGGCTGATCGGAGCGGGGAATCCAGCCCCTCCCCCTGTCACGGCAGAGAGCCGTGACAGGATCGAGAGGTGAGCGAGCGCCGGTATGTGTTCGCTCACCTCCCGATCTACTGAGCCGACCTGTGACGGTCTCATTGTCACAGGTCGGCTAGAACTATGAGGGGAGTGCAAAGCACCCCCCTCCCCCTCATAGTTCTCCTTTAAAAGGAAATAAACACGCACCATGTTGTAGATGTAAGTTGGTTCAGAAGCAGAAGTGTGATTACTGAACACACAACACATGCACACAGCACATCGTACCTGTACAGTCCTGGGACACGTAGACAGACAGCTCAGGGACCTGGCATGCGTTCTCCAGTGCTTTCCTGATGGACGGAGATACGGAGTCACACAAATGATGAGAACAAGGCATTCGTCGGAACCAAATGACATGCTGCCTGGAACTGTGAGATCGTGGGCAACTAAAATCTAGGTCAGCTCTTCTCAAAGGGTGGAAACCTAAGGGATTGCTAGAGGTAACCCAACTAACCACAATTTCCCCACTGACCACCAACGTACGGGAGCCCTTCTCTTACTGACCACCAATGTACGGGAGCCCTTCTCTTACTGACCACCAATGTACGGGAGCCCTTCTCTAATGACCACCAATGTACGGGAGCCCTTCTCTTACTGACCACCAATGTACGGGAGCCCTTCTCTAATGACCACCAATGTACGGGAGCCCTTCTCTAATGACCACCAATGTACGGGAGCCCTTCTCTAATGACCACCAATGTACGGGAGCCCTTCTCTAATGACCACCAATGTACGGGAGCCCTTCTCTAATGACCACCAATGTACGGGAGCCCTTCTCTAATGACCACCAATGTACGGGAGCCCTTCTCTAATGACCACCAATGTACGGGAGCCCTTCTCTAATGACCACCAATGTACGGGAGCCCTTCTCTAATGACCACCAATGTACGGGAGCCCTTCTCTAATGACCACCAATGTACGGGAGCCCTTCTCTAATGACCACCAATGTACGGGAGCCCTTCTCTAATGACCACCAATGTACGGGAGCCCTTCTCTAATGACCACCAATGTACGGGAGCCCTTCTCTAATGACCACCAATGTACGGGAGCCCTTCTCTAATGACCACCAATGTACGGGAGCCCTTCTCTAATGACCACCAATGTATGGGAGCCCTTCTCTAATGACCACCAATGTACGGGAGCCCTTCTCTAATGACCACCAACGTATGGAAGCCCTTCTCTTACTGACCAATGTGGGTAAGCGGGTGCGGGTTTCTTTGCTGGCTCATCAATTAGACTGAGGCAGGCAAAGAGTGAGCGGTCAATGCTAGGCTTTCTTATAAACATCCATCATACAACATGAGGGCAGCACCTTGTATTTAATGTTTATTTATAAAATACAAATTGTATCAAAGTGATAAAACAAATAAATAAATATAAATGTGACCAAAAACTGTTAGAGGATGCATGAGGACAAAGTACCTTCAAATCTCACCTCAAAATGTGAGCCACAATGCTGGGGCCATACCAATCACCGGCCTTCTTGCCGAAACTCTCCCCTAATTTCACCATGTGGTGCAGACCAAAGGGGGCATCGGGGCGGTCCGACAGCCATTGCAGGATGTCCCTGTGGATCTGCTCCTGGTGAGAGATCTGTGAAAGACATCGGTGTGGGGGGGATTCCCAGGGGGAGCAAATCCGGCCCGGCTGACAGGAAGCCGATTGTGCCGAGGGGAACAGACTCGCGTTGGACGGAGAGGAAGATCGGATGGGATCCATTTCTACCAAGTGTGTGATTAAGGCTTCCGGCCAGAACCAATCTGAGGAAGAAACAAGAAGAGGAACTGTCACATCTGCAGACCGTCCCAAATCCATCCAACCCTAACCTGCTATCCAATAATACATCTATTCCTTTACTAAACTTCCTGTTTGTGTGACTACAGCTAAGATGTGCAGGTAATTCAGAAGATGTTGGGTGTGTTGGCCAGAATTTCAACTAAAGACTATACCTGAGGGCAATAGAGGCGTGGGTGAGAAGGTAAGGTGCTTCCAGGGAGGCTTCAGGGATGTGAATCTGAAACTGGACTGACTGGTCTGAAGTATCATCAACCGCTAAACAATTTTCAACAAGCGCCGAAGGCAAAATGAAGAAGAAGATGGCGTCCCCAAACATCTTTGACCTTGCTGGGAAAGCTGGGCACGGAACGGAGCTGCTGGAAGAAAACATGTCCTTCACAAAGCTCATGAGATATTTGTCCATCAGGTCTTCAAAGGAACTCAGGCAGTGGAATGATCATAGTCTTGTTGAGAATTGTAAACTTCTTTGTCAGCTTTGGGAGAAGGAAACCATTTCTGAATGATCTTTGTAGAACGGACAGAAGATATCCAGTCACTTAAGGTAAGATGCAATCCTCCTTGTTCAAAATCTGGACACACATACCAAGGGTCAAAAAAGACCTCAGGGGTTTGCTTTTAGAATGCAGAAGTCAGTGGCAGAGGTTTTTGCTTTGGTGAAAACGTCCACCACATGGGACGTTTCCAGGGCTTCTAGAATGAGACCCTTGAGGCGGTCTTTCTGCTGAGATTCTTATTAGATGCAGGAGGGTTGTCCTCCCCATTGATCCCTGGGACGGGTGCTGATCTTCCTTCATCTCTGCCATGTTCCTGCCTGTTACGGTGAGGTCTGCCATTCCTCTGCCAGACCAAAGCCGCTGTTTCTTCTTGTACGCTCCACAGCTGGGTCCAGAGTCCTGCTGCCTGGTTTGGTTTGCTCTTTCCCCCTGTACATTCCTGCGGTGGGTCCATAGTTCTGCTGTGTGACAGTCTCATTGCCACACGTCGGCTGGAACTCTGAGGCCTCATAGTTCTCCTTTAAACATTAAGCCCCCGTTCCCACTGCGCGCGATATGCAAATTGCGCGTTTGTCGCGCGATTTGCATATTGCGCGAGATTTGCCGCGCGATATCGCGTTCAAGCTTGCATTGAGCAAGCTGGAATCGCGGCTAAATCCGCTCCAAAAAGGGTCCTGCTGTCGCGACACACGACCCGCGACAGCAGGACCCTTTGCCCCATTGAAATGCATTGGAGGGCGATATCGCACGGTAATTTGCCGCGATATCACGGGAATTACAGCGCGATAAATCGCTCAATGTGAACGGGGCTTTATACATTTTTGTCTGTACATCAAACAACAGGGAAGGACAACGCCGGAGAAAAGAGGGTCAGAGGGACTTGGTTCCAAAAACAGGTCCAGTCCCTCTAAATAAGGGACATTCCGGAGCTATGCAATCAGTGGGATAGACAAATATTGGGGGAGTGGAGGCGGGACAGATCTCCGGGTAGGGGCGGGGCTGACCTCTGGGTAGGGGCGGGGCTGACCTCTGACTGGCTCATCAATTAGACTGAGGCAGGCAAAGAGTGAGCGGTCAATGCTAGGCTTTCTTATAAACATCCATCATACAACATGAGGGCAGCACCTTGTATTTAATGTTTATTTATAAAATACAAATTGTATCAAAGTGATAAAACAAATAAATAAATATAAATGTGACCAAAAACTGTTAGAGGATGCATGAGGACAAAGTACCTTCAAATCTCACCTCAAAATGTGAGCCACAATGCTGGGGCCATACCAATCACCGGCCTTCTTGCCGAAACTCTCCCCTAATTTCACCATGTGGTGCAGACCAAAGGGGGCATCGGGGCGGTCCGACAGCCATTGCAGGATGTCCCTGTGGATCTGCTCCTGGTGAGAGATCTGTGAAAGACATCGGTGTGGGGGGGATTCCCAGGGGGAGCAAATCCGGCCCGGCTGACAGGAAGCCGATTGTGCCGAGGGGAACAGACTCGCGTTGGACGGAGAGGAAGATCGGATGGGATCCATTTCTACCAAGTGTGTGATTAAGGCTTCCGGCCAGAACCAATCTGAGGAAGAAACAAGAAGAGGAACTGTCACATCTGCAGACCGTCCCAAATCCATCCAACCCTAACCTGCTATCCAATAATACATCTATTCCTTTACTAAACTTCCTGTTTGTGTGACTACAGCTAAGATGTGCAGGTAATTCAGAAGATGTTGGGTGTGTTGGCCAGAATTTCAACTAAAGACTATACCTGAGGGCAATAGAGGCGTGGGTGAGAAGGTAAGGTGCTTCCAGGGAGGCTTCAGGGATGTGAATCTGAAACTGGACTGACTGGTCTGAAGTATCATCAACCGCTAAACAATTTTCAACAAGCGCCGAAGGCAAAATGAAGAAGAAGATGGCGTCCCCAAACATCTTTGACCTTGCTGGGAAAGCTGGGCACGGAACGGAGCTGCTGGAAGAAAACATGTCCTTCACAAAGCTCATGAGATATTTGTCCATCAGGTCTTCAAAGGAACTCAGGCAGTGGAATGATCATAGTCTTGTTGAGAATTGTAAACTTCTTTGTCAGCTTTGGGAGAAGGAAACCATTTCTGAATGATCTTTGTAGAACGGACAGAAGATATCCAGTCACTTAAGGTAAGATGCAATCCTCCTTGTTCAAAATCTGGACACACATACCAAGGGTCAAAAAAGACCTCAGGGGTTTGCTTTTAGAATGCAGAAGTCAGTGGCAGAGGTTTTTGCTTTGGTGAAAACGTCCACCACATGGGACGTTTCCAGGGCTTCTAGAATGAGACCCTTGAGGCGGTCTTTCTGCTGAGATTCTTATTAGATGCAGGAGGGTTGTCCTCCCCATTGATCCCTGGGACGGGTGCTGATCTTCCTTCATCTCTGCCATGTTCCTGCCTGTTACGGTGAGGTCTGCCATTCCTCTGCCAGACCAAAGCCGCTGTTTCTTCTTGTACGCTCCACAGCTGGGTCCAGAGTCCTGCTGCCTGGTTTGGTTTGCTCTTTCCCCCTGTACATTCCTGCGGTGGGTCCATAGTTCTGCTGTGTGACAGTCTCATTGCCACACGTCGGCTGGAACTCTGAGGCCTCATAGTTCTCCTTTAAACATTAAGCCCCCGTTCCCACTGCGCGCGATATGCAAATTGCGCGTTTGTCGCGCGATTTGCATATTGCGCGAGATTTGCCGCGCGATATCGCGTTCAAGCTTGCATTGAGCAAGCTTGAATCGCGGCTAAATCCGCTCCAAAAAGGGTCCTGCTGTCGCGACACACGACCCGCGACAGCAGGACCCTTTGCCCCATTGAAATGCATTGGAGGGCGATATCGCACGGTAATTTGCCGCGATATCACGGGAATTACAGCGCGATAAATCGCTCAATGTGAACGGGGCTTTATACATTTTTGTCTGTACATCAAACAACAGGGAAGGACAACGCCGGAGAAAAGAGGGTCAGAGGGACTTGGTTCCAAAAACAGGTCCAGTCCCTCTAAATAAGGGACATTCCGGAGCTATGCAATCAGTGGGATAGACAAATATTGGGGGAGTGGAGGCGGGACAGATCTCCGGGTAGGGGCGGGGCTGACCTCTGGGTAGGGGCGGGGCTGACCTCTGTTTAGAAGATGCACCAGGAGAGCCTGAGCCAGTAACATCTGGGCGCTTCTGATCATACAGCCCCAACCACAATCTGTGGTGAGCTGCGTGCCTTCCAGTGCGGGGAAGTCTCGTCTGTACGTCATCCAAATCCGAGACACGAAGTCCCTCTGGAATTTCTCAATGTCATCTGTGAAGACATAGGAAGGAAAGGTCACGGTGCGCTCAGCTGGAAGAACGGTGGCGTGTGCCATCACCATGGATGACAGAACCCACAGACGTGAGATAATGGTCGGGGGATGATCCCGACATAAACATTTCTCCTCCTTCCCCAATAGTGTCCTCAGCACCCCCCCCCCGCCCCCAACCTTCTCTCGCA